AGAAATCTCTCCACTAGTGCCTCCTTCTTTCAGGTGAAAGCAGTGACTCTGAAATGATACTGACCATGGCTCACCTCAGTGGGTCAACATGCCCCACAGTTACTCTACCCACCTCTTCCCATTCTTCAGTAGAAAAAGAACTTGGTAATAACATTCAGTAGTGAGTTGTGTACAAGTTTGTTGGAGAAATATAGTTACGGATTATTCCTATTGGAAACACAACATGTAAGTGTCTCACCACTGGTAAATTATAGGCCCCAAATACGACTGATCCAAATACACATCATTCCATGTCAGCCTGTAGCCACTAATCTGACAATGATGCAGGTAAACAAAATGCAATTTATAACTGAAAATGAAGAATAGCAGCAGATGGAAAAGTCCACAACCAACTCCAGAGACTGCTGATGCTATACTGATGAAAAAAAAACAAACAAAAACCACCCTTCCTGAAGACGAGGAACTCCAGTGGGAACTCTGCAATATGTTCTTAAGGCCACACTCTGATGAAATACCCAAGCCAAGACTGTGATTGTCCATACCATTTTCCACAAAAAGGAACCATAGCTCCCTGAAAAAACAGTTGATTCCTAACCAGAGAAGGAAAATATACAAAGTATTACACTCCATGGAAAGCAAGGAAGCTCTTGGAGATTCCTAGAATCATGTTTAAAGGACTCGGGAGCCAACTTGAAGAGGCTCCCATTGACAAAAAATGGGACAATTTAAGCATTAATAAGAATAATAGTTCTCATTGATTAAAACACATCAAATACTTTAAAATTCATTTTAAATTCAAACAATACAACAGGACTACCTATAAAGTAATCTTGCTAAAAATTAATTCAGAATCTGATCAAGCCTCTAGATCTAATAATCTACAGGAAATACTGGGACAGAGAAACTTGTTAAATGACCCTAAAAGTATATAATCAGTACAACCCAGAATGTGGAAAATTTACAGAAGAAATGACTTGCAAGATTTCTTCAACAAATACATTTCAAGAAAAAAGTGACAGAAGGGAAATCTATAGATGAAGAGACTTAAGTGGCCAACCATTGGGAATGTATGCACCTTATTTAGAACCTGATTTAAGTGAACAGATTTTTTAAAAAATATATTTGTGAGACGATCAGGGCAAATTAAACATTGAATATTTACAATATTAAGAAATTAAATCAAAGTTTCATTTTAAATATAATGACAGCACAGTTATATATTTTAATAGAATCTTTATCCTTGATAAATGTACTAAAATATTTATGAATCAGATGGTATGGAATTTGCTTCAAAATAATTCAGGGGTAAAGAGACTGGGGAATGTGAGGGGTATAAGTAGGATAAGATGGGTCATGACTGATCATGGAAGCTGAAAGACAGTACACGGGCTCATGACTATTCTACTTTGGTAGATGCTTGAGCTTTTAATACAAAATTTAGAATAAAAAATTTTGAAAATAAGGATGGAAAATTGGGAAGAATAAATGTAGGGACTCTAAAAGAACTGTTAAAGGAAGAGACATGATACCAGAAGGAAATTTGGAACATCAGGAATGAAGGAAGATCAATAGAAACAGTAAATAGCTGCGTAAATATGAGAGATTCCTCTTTTATTGAATTGTGTAAAATATGTTGGCTGGCTCAAAGAAAATAGTGTAAAATTGGGGTTTTAATATATGTAAATGTAACACATAAGACAACTCCAACAGAGCGGAGGAAGAATCAAGGGGTTTATGCTGATCAACCTCCACATTCCACTCAAAAGGGTAAAATATTGATTCTAGGTAGGCTGTGAAAGTTAAGTGTGTGTACTGTAATCCCGAGAGTGACCACCGTAAAAACTATACAAAGAGATATGTCAAAAACACAATAGGTAAATTAAAATGGGAAAATAACACACAGAAGGTAAGACAGGAAGAAAAATCAGAGGGAACAAACAGAACACAGGTAATAAAGTGGAGACCTAAAAGCATATCAATAATTTCTTTAAACATAAATGATCCAAACACACCAATTGTCAGACTGGATTTTTTTTTTTATTTCAGCATGTTATGGGGGTACAGATGATTAGGTTACGTATGATGCCCTTACCCTCTCTCCCCACCAAGTCCGAGCTTCAAGTGTGGATTTTTTAAAATGTGCATACTGAATAGATTTTTAAAATGACCAATTGTATGTTAAAAGTAAAAATATGGATAAAGATAATCCATGCACACACTAATAAGAGAAAGTAGCTATAATAATAACAGAAAAATAAGACTTCATAACAAAAACAATTACCAGAGCTAAAGAGGATATTTCATAATAAAAGCTCATTGTACCAAGAAGATACAACAGTCATAAATGTATGCACTTAACAACGGAGCTGCAGAATACACGAGGCAAAAACTCACAGAACCAAAAAGAAAAATAGGTGAATCCACAGTTATAATTGGAGACTTCAACACTCCTCTCTCAGTAAGCTACAGAACTAGGAAACAAAGTCAGCAAGGATGTAGTAGAACTGAGCAACACTATCAACTGACATTTTAGAATACTCCATCCAACAAAAGCAGAATACACTTTCCTTTCAAGTGCACATGGAACATTCACCAAGATAGGCCATAACTTTCTTCAAAAAAAAACCTTAACAAATCTAAAAGAATTAAAGTCATGCAAAGAAAGGATAGGGACAGCAAACATGCACGTGTAAATATAATCAACATCATTAGCCATTAGAGAAATGCAAATTAAAACCACAATGAAATGTCACTATACCGGTTAAAATGGACAAAGTGAAAAATAACACCAAATGCTAACAAGAATGCAAAGAAACTGGACACCTCATACATTGCTGCTGTGATTATACAATGGTACAGCCACTCTGCAAAACAGTTTGGCAGTTTCGTATAAAACTAAGCATGCACTTACCACATGACTCAGCAATTGCACTCTTCAGCATTTATCCCAGAAAATGAAAACTTACCTTCACAAAAAACATATACATGAAGGTTCACAAGAGCTTTCTTCATAATAGCCCCAAATTGGGCACCACCCAAATGTCTTTCAATGGGTGGATGATGAAACAAGCTCTAGTATATCCATGCAATGCAATATTACTTAGGAATAAGAAGAAATAAACTTCATACACACAACAACATGGAGGAGCATGAAACTTAGTGAAAAAAAGGCAATCTCATAAAAGGTTACACACTATATGATTCTATGTATATAACATCCTCAAAATAGCAAAACTATAGACCTGGAGAATAGATTAGTGGTTGCTACGAGGGGACAGGGACAAGGTGGGGGATGTGACTAAGAACAGGTAGCACAAGCAAGTTAAACGTGTCCCCAAGATCACAGAGCCAACAACAGAAGCAGGCAGTGCAGGTTGTGGAGGTGCAGAGCCCGTGCTTCTAACCTGTGACTACTATGCAGGAACAGAGGGGAGCTGACTAGAACGTGGCCACAGCAGTGGCTGAAGGGACGAGGAAGACAGATAACAGACTTAAACCTAAGGCATGAAACCATAACAATTCTAGAAGAAAATGATGGAAAAACTCTTATAGACATCAGCCTAGGCAAAGAATTTATGAAGAAGACCCCAAAAGCAATCACAGCAACAACAAAAATAAATAAATGGGACCTGATTAAATTAAAAA